AAATTTGTGATTGACATTTTTGCTAAAAATATTGAGCTAATTTCCTTGCTCTTGGTTGAGCAAATTCATGATCCAATATCAGCCTGGGAGCTTCGGAAAAACGTTTTAATACGTTTTAATGTTTTAATACATTTCGAAACTTTAATAGGAGTTTTAATGAGAGACAGGTGTCCTCGGAAGAACTGGACACTATGTCTAAAAATAACTTAAGAGGGATTACCTTGGGTATAAGGCCTTTATGGGGGATTCACTCTCTTACCTTGATCTTCTCTTGTTGGAGATCAATCACCGAGAAAAGTTGATCGCCGACTCGATGGTGTTCCAAGACGATTTCTCAAAGCGTCAATGCCACTTACTGCCTCCTTCTTGACGCACGATCTTCCACTCAGTCATCTCTCCGGGGAGAGGGGGGGAGGGGGACAGACTCCCATATGAAAAGGTTGGGTATACTCGTCGTCTCGCTTAGGTGTGTAAATCAAGGATTCTGGTCTCAACTGGGGTGCTCAGGACGAAACACCACTATTTTTAGCTGTCAGAGTATCTTTTAGGGGCACACAAAGAAATAACAATTAAAACAAAACGCTCTCATTTCCACTTTTAAGCTCGATTTCCGTCGCTTGCTCGAGTCCGGTGTACTATCCCAAGTTCCTTTCCCGAACAGCGGCTGGTAATCTAGCCTATTCCGTTTTAAGTGGTATCTATTAGGAGTTAAAAAAAAAAACCCTCGAGCCACACCCAGATTGGTCTCCCCAAGGGGTTTAATTGAACATCCCCGACCTTTTCATATGAGAGTTTCCCCTGGGATGTTTGCGATTAAGGGGCTCTTATACTCTCAGATATAAAATTTTCTCCAAAAAACCATTTTTATGGGACATGAAGATTCAACATCCCTGTCCATTTGCAAATCGTATTTTGAAACGATTTTCCTCTAATTACTCTTTGATTTACGTTTAAAATAAGAAATCTGAACACTTGTTGCTATATTTCAACATAGCAACACCCATAGCAGCCATTGTTTACAGTCTGAAAGTACTCACAAAATGGATTTAGTTCAGTACATCGTTATGATACTTTACACAAACGCGTTATGAGAATTTTGCATCATGGTCCTGAATATTGTTTCCTCTACCATCTTATACGCCCCTCATACTTGGTTAACATTTCTATGAGTGATGTGTATCCGGGTATTCAATGAAACATTTATGTAAAACCTTTAAATATACCCCTC